TTCGTGTTCAAAGCAAGAAAATACGGGCACACTAGCAGTTATAATAAAAAACATAACAGTAATAATGATGCAACAATGATGACGATAATAATGATATAAATAATAGTAATAACAACAATATCAGCGGAAATATTATTACTAATAAATGGTGGTGATAATGATAATATTAGCTGCTCAATAGTTTTAATAATACAAAGACAATAAATTAACAATAGTAATAATTCTCGACTGTGCTCGTAATAACTCTCTCATGCCTCCCGCCCCCATTACTCCCTTAAAAATGGACATTTAGTAGATGAAGAAGCGAAAACCTTATTTTATGAGATTTTTGAAAAAAAATGAAAAAAAAAAAATAGCTTCACGCAAGAATCACCAGGAAAGTAATATCGAATGGTGCAGTTTTTAGCAACAGAATCCAAACCAAAGCCACCGACTGCTTTTTTTTTGCGTGAAAATACGCTGCGATTGAACAACGGCTTATCAAAATATTAGAGTCTGTAATATTAGAGGCAAGAACCAGTACCTTTGGTTGAGTGCTTTGAAAACTTCGCGCTGCTTTTTCGGCCGCTCGTCGTACTGCACCTTCTGGAAAATTGCCTTCCGTGCGCACTATATTCACCTCACGCTCCTGTGTTGAATCAACATCCTGAAATGACTGAGAAAAATTCTCGAAAAACATTCGAAACTGGAATTTTCTCCAGAAAACCAATACCGTCAAAAAAAGCAAAAGCAAACTTCCAAATATTGCTTCATGGATTTCAACGTTGAGCCTCCTTTCAAGTAACTCTCTAATTTTACAGCTGCTTTCCTCAGTTAACGACAGACTTTGTTGCTGTGTAAGATGATTTTCCAGGAAAAAACCAAAAAAATGATAGATGCAAAAAAGCACAAAAAGGATGGATAATCAAAGGAAGAGGAATATTTCAATTCATTAAGTCGCTTACTTTCCAAGAGAAAAAGACTGGGTGTTATTGACTGCCTTTTTATTCAGTATTATTAAGATTTGGGTACTATTATTTATTTTTCTTAGGGCATCTTTTGCACAAATTTTCAATTTAAACATGCGTAAATAAACACGAAATAAATATTCTACATATAAACATATATATACATATATATTTTACATATATACATATATATTTACATATACATATATGTAAAATATATAATATTATAATAATACTGTCTATAATAATATGTATAATATAATACTGTATA